TGAGAGGCCATTCTGCTTGGGGCCCACCAGGCCTCATTGCTCCCAGCAACAAGCTGGAATCTCTGGATGCAGGATGGCTGGCTCAGGGACTGGCCTGTCCTTAAAACCGCCTCCGCCTAGCCTGGGATTTGCAAGTCCTAGAATTGCCACATCAAAGCCCCTCCGCCTCTGAGAAAATCTGGCCTTGCTACTACTACTCCCCAAAGCTAGGTGAAGTGAATTTCTCAAGTCTGGACTGGGATGTTCAGATTAAACAAACAAGTGGCTTAAGCTTCAAAGGTCTATTTCTTTGTTTTATTGCACATCTTCCATAGCATAAAAATAACTGTAACGTGACAGAGGGTGAGCCATCACAGGACTAGCAGGGGAGAGGGAGACAATGCTATCATACAGCCCACCAGGAGGGGCAGCTCTCTGCAGGCTGCTGTTTGGGGGTCCAGAGGGAGATCAGAGCAGAACAAGGCCTGGCCTAGGGACACCAGGTATCCCCAAGTCAAGGCTGAGTCCTGTACTTGGTAAGAGGCTTTCTCACATAAATGACTGCATTTTCCCCAGACTTTCCAGATAATCGGGGCAGATACCACTAAGCTGCAGGAAGGCCTGGGACCCATCCCTGGTCACAGAGCTACCTTCTCGGTTAAGGTGGTTTTAAAGTTCTCTCCTGGGCTGGGGATTCAGCTGCCTGGCAAGCGCAAGGTCCTGAGTGTGATCCCTGGTACCAGGGGGGAAAAAAAATCACTCCTGTCACATTATCACTGTGGGTCCTACACAGAACAGGTTCTAGTGGAGTGGAAGGTGTGGGGAGACCTCAGCCACTGCTTGCAGAAACCCTCAGAATACTGCTGGTGGCCCTCAAACTCACAGCCACTTCCAAGCCAGACTCTACACAAAGACCAGGGCTCTCAGCCTGGGGCCGGCCCTGCTGGCTGCTCTTCCTTCTGAGTGCTGCTCCTTTCTGCCCTGGGAATACCACTCACTATGCCGTGCAGACACGTGAGAGGGCTGGAAACGGGCTCTCCATAGGTGTCTTGGACCAGAGGCTGAGCTGGACTCCCACGGGCAGGCATTTGGGGTGCATCAGGTTCACCTGGGGTACAAGTAAAATGCAGTTCCCCATTACAGGTGGGAACTCCAGCAGGTCAGCACCAGAGGCCTAAAATCTGCATTCCTATCGACCCCACCTCTGCCCTTCTGCACACCTGGAGGGTGGAGCAAGTTTCTAGTACTAAGAACAGACTCCAGAGCTGCAAGCAGGCAAAGAGGGCTAATTCCACCCTCCACTGCCTGCCTAGGGTTTCCAGGCACAAAGAACTCCCAGCTCACTGCGGGGAACGTGGGTCCTCAGGGTCCCTGGCCCCAAATTCTCTAGCCCAGAGGCTCAGCCCAGTAGAGAAGACAGAGCTACACAACATAAAATTGTCTTAGGGCTGAGGGCCCGGCAGGCCAGCCCGACCACGATGCCCCTCCCCCTCCTTCCACCAGCTCCTCCGAGAACCGGAGTGCAAGGAAGGCTTGCCCAATCTTTTCAGTTTCTCACCCGACACAGCCTCTGACCACCAAGCGGATCTCAGACCCGGTCACGCCCCAAGCGATGCCCCCATCCGCCCTGGCACCGTCTCGAAGCGCGTTCACAGATTAAAATTAAGCGGAGATTAACACAAACCCCTCACCCCGACCCGGAACGCCTCCAAACTGCCCCGCCCTCGCCCTTGGCCCATCACCTGCCACGTGGTCGGGACAGCCGGGGCAGCCTGGAAGGGAAAAGTTAGGCTACTCGCCAGCCTGGACACCTTCTGAGCTCCGTCCCAGAGGTGCCAAGGAAAGAGCTTTCTGCCCTAGGGTCTGGAAGGCTCTGGTATCTTTTAATACTTTTAAATCAGCGCGTGACAACCAAGGATTAGGCACGGCTACAGGAAACAAGGTAACGGTATTAAGTACTTAGGCGGAGAACCTGCTCTGCAAGTGGAGGAGGTGAGTGTCACAGCGGAGTTCTCTGAGCTCCAGAGAAACGGACCATTCTTTAAGCAAAGCTAGAGAAGGAGCGTTGCCATCCACTGTGTTTTTGCATTAGTATGAAAACCAAAAATTAACGGAGACGTGAGAAACAACTTCCACAGATAAATCAACGACCAAGTGTCCTCAAGCGAGACGCGAAGCGATGCCCTGGGGTCTGGGACGAGCGCGGTCGGCGGCGCCAAGGAAGCCGGCTCCGGGGCCCGCCTC